GGGGCGACAACACAAGGGCCAGGACAAAGGGCGCGGGAGAGGAGAAGCGGGAGCCAGAGGGAGGCACCAGAAGGGCCAGGACGAGGGAAGAGAGAAAGGAGCAAGGAAGGCAGAGCGCGACGCGCGAAAAGGAAGAAAGGCGCGGGAGAACAAGACACCAGGAAGCGGGAACCCGGAAGGGGACAAAGGGGGGGGCAGGAAGAGAAGAAGAAGAAGGAGGGAGAAGAGAGGAAGCGAGGGGGGAGCCGAGGGGGGCACGCAGAGACCCGGAAGGGAGGGGAAGCAAAGAGACGCGCCACGGGAAAGGGCAGGAAGGGCCACGACAGACAAGGGGCAGAAGAAGAAAGGGAGAGAGGCAGGGAAAGGAGGGGGGAGAAAGCCCGGAGGGAGGCAGAAGGCGCGAAAGGAGGAGGGGGAAGGAGGAGGAGGGGCAGGAGGACGCGGGAAAGGGGGCGAAGGAGGGAAGAGCCGCAGGGAAGGAAGAAGAGGGACCAGGGGGGCGCGAGAAAGGGGGAGAAGGAACGGAGGGAGGAGGAGGAGCGCAGGCAAGAGGGAGGGGGGAAACAGCAAGGAAAGAGAGAAAGAGCGGGAGAGGGCAGGGCAGGGGGAAAGACGGAGACGGGGGAAAGAAAAAGCGGGGGAAAGCGAGAAGGAGGAGCGCGACGGGAAGAGCGAGGGGGCGGGAAGGGGGGGGAGAGACACCAGGCAGCCGACAGCGAAAAAGGGGGGGCACAGGGCGAGAGGCAGAGAAGGGGCAGGGGGGAGCAAACGAAAGGGGCCGAAGAAGCGCGGAAGCAGAGAAGGAACCGGGGGGGACGCGAAGGCCCGGACGGCAGGAGCGGGGGAGCACCAGGAGAGAACCAGAAGGGCCAGAAGCGCAACAGAGGGGCGAGGAAAGGGCGAGCAAAAGCGAGGGCGCCCCCGACAAAGGAAGGACGGGAAGAAGGAGGAACAGAGCCGCCGGGAGCGGCGAGAGACAAAGACAGGACAGGGAGGGAAGAAACCAGGAGACGGGGGAAGAGGCGACGGGGGGACGGGGGGGGGAGCCCGCAAGGCCAAGGCCAAACGGGGGAGACAAGGAAGGGCCGAAAGGGGCAAAAGGAGGACAAGAACACGGGGGGGGCACAAAGGGGAGAGGAGCGCGAGAAGAGCCAGAGAGGAGGGGACACGACGCGAGGGACAAGCCAGAAGAGGGGGCCAAGCCAGGCGGCAAAGGGGGAAGAGAGGGAGAACGGGAAGAGGGGGAGCGGCAGGGGGAGACGGGAAGGACAGGGACGCGAAGCAAGCCGGAAGAGGGAACGGAAAAGCCGGAAGAGGAATAGCAGAAAAGACGAACAGGGGCGACGAAGGGGACCAACACAACGGAAATAAGGGACGGAAGCAAGCCGGAAGTATCGGGAACGCGATAAAGCCGAAAGAGGAAAAGCAGAAAAGACGAACAGGGCGTGAACGCTACGATGGGCCAACGCAGTGAAAGACAGAAAGAGAGGCGACGAGGGGCCGCACGAGTGTGACGTGAGACCAGGGATGCGTCGCGC